ATGTCATTGAAGACTTTAACAAGATCAGTCTCAGTGCTTTGGTGCCTGACTAGATCACATCCAAACAGTTATTTAAATCCCAAAAAAGAGAAGTAGTTGTTCTGCAATGAAATGTGTGATCTCTTTTGATCCCTCTAAAAATGCTTAATAAATATGTTTTTTCATTATTATTACAAAAGTGACATAAAATGCCCTCAAGAGTTCCATATTTCCGCAGTTAAAGTAGTAAATCAACAAGATCTTAAAACTTTTACAGCAAAAACTTGTCCTGAAGGATGGAGGAAGTTCAGTTGTTCCTGTTATCTCTTCTCTACTGAGAAAGCTTCTTGGGAACAAAGCAGACAAAACTGCACAGCCGGAGGAGCAGATCTGGTGATCGTAGACAGTGATAAAGAACTGGTAATGTGTGCTGCTTTAACACTTGTGATTGTATAACTCCTGCTTTTATCAATCAATAATATTTTTATTGTACATATACTAGCAAATGCGTCTATCAGCTATAATGATTATGTTACAACAATGGTGTTGATTACATATTTCTGAGCTAGTAAAAAGGGAAAAGTTATCTGAATGTTGATGTCCATCCCAGTAAACTGCATTTTTAATATGTGAACAGTATTTCCTCGATGCGATGATGAGCAACTCTAGCGTGAACAAGGAAGACACTTGGATTGGTTTGAATGACACAGAAGAGGAGGGGACCTGGAAATGGGTGGATGAATCTCCACTGACTCTGAATCTGACGTAAGGCTTTACTTTGGTTTTAAATACAGACGCTGGTTTATGTTGTGACCTTTCTAAATGTTTCACATGTTTCTGTAATGGGAGTTAACACAACACACAGGATGCATTTAAACGTAGGGTGTCTGCCCATTTCACCAGAAGACTCATTTGGGTTTTAAGAAAAGAACATGGCTGTATTACTTATAGTTATTTGTATTTGATGTCCAATCTTTTAGTTTATCTTTTTTTCCTGTAATACCTGTTAGGTTTTGGAGAGAAGGAGAGCCTAATAATGATCATAGAGGAGAGGACTGTGCCCACATCAAACCTGACACCAAAAGGTGGAACGACGCGTCCTGTGAGCTCGATCTGCATTGGATCTGTGAGAAAGAAGCTTAACATTGGTGTCTGTTTGGATACCAAACATGCAATCGTGCTTTTACAATTTATTTTAAATTGAGTTATTTAAAACTATTCAAAATGCCTGATTTCATGAATAAGAATTACGTTTTATGACTCGCAAAATCACAATTTGTTTTTTGTTTTTTTTTCAAACTAATATCAGCAATAAATAAATAGTCATTTAATATGTTTTTGCCAACTTTTATTTGACTAAATTAAATTAGTATTTGTAATAATCCTTTTACATATCAACATAAAAACAGCTTCCTAAAAACATCTGCTGATAAGCCCACAGTTCCTGAAAGTGATAATATTGAAGGTGACTTATTGAGCAGAATATGATAAAAATAAGAAGAATAAAAACTGTCAAACATTATTGAATAATTCAGAAATATACAACAATACTCTAGTCTCAGCATTGGTCTAACTTGTTCAAATGTGTAAAATAGCCTGTGTGTTATACAGTATGTTTCCTAACAATGACCTCTTGTGGCCATGTGAGTACAAATCTATTGCAGGTATTTAACATTCATAGGTACCAGCCACTTTGTACATACTGTAAGAACTAGTGCTGTCAATTAATACAAAAATGTATGTATGTTTATCACAATAATAATCTGGGACTTTAACTGCAGGATTTTCTCATGTTTCATTTAAAAAAGTAAACTGCCTTTTATTTGAAGTTAATTACAGAACTTTAGTAAATGGGCAAATTAGATATAGTTAGATCAGGAAATGGCAACTTTCTTTGAGCATGCATACAAAGATAAAAACCGTATGAATATATGTTGGGTGTATTACATGTTCTCTGACAAGATAAAGCTCTTCCACTTCAACAAACTGCTGTTATCAGATAAAAAGCAGCTTTACCACTTCACCTTTTTTTCTCAAAGTGAACAACTCCTCCCTGAAAGTTGTCTTTGAAATGATGTGCACTTTTTATATTTATGATCAGCGGCAGACAGTGTACTTCAGAGGAAAGACATTTGTGTTTATCAGCATTTATAATTAAGATCCCTGCTTTCACAACAATGACATGCTATTCTCTTTTTATTAACCAGTAAAACAGATCTATACAGGATCAATACATTTAGAATATTATTCATCTTTATGGCTTTGTAGGATGATATGTCTCTATTTAACACAATGGACTTGATTATCTCACTTGTTTCAGTCTTAAATCTGTATTGTCAATGTGCTTTGGCAATAGTGTGTTTTAAATGTGGGCATTTCAATAAAGCTTATTTGAATTTGTCTTGACTCTCAGTGTGAGAAACAAACAAACATTTCCTTATATCTTTGAGATAGATGTATAGATAATTATCTGGTACAGTTGCTAGGATACCTTTAGCACTTAAGAGGTGTGACGTATTGATGGTGTTTTGTTTTATCCTCTACGCTATTGCTATTTCCCAGACATCAGACATCTTTCAAACTATCTAGATGAAAATATTTTATAGGGCTGTTTTTAAGACCTTGCAGCTCTGGGTCTTAGCAGACCCTAGGATCCATGCTCAGTTCCATGCATGGAAAATGTTGGACAGCTACCTTAGGTGCTTGGTAACACAAATGGAAGTCGCACTCTTTTTTCTCTTTTTCTGTTGTCACATGTGTTATCATTATTTTCAGTTTACCCGTACAGGGTTAAGTATGGATACACTGTTGGAAAATACAAGAAAGGTGATACAAATTATGTACACAGGTTTAGAAGCTCTAAAAGGTGCATTTTTGAGAAGTGATTGGAGAACTATGTGTAAAGGAGAGTTGTTACAACACAGAAAACACCAGAATTTAAACTATGAACATTAATATAATTTCACTAATAGTTAATGGCCTAAGCAACCCAATTAAAAAAGTGCTTACACAACTGAAACACCAAGGTGGAGATATTGGTGCAGAATCTGTCAAAAGTACTGTGTGTGTGTGTGTGTGTGTGTGTGTGTGTGTGTGTGTGTGTGTGTGTGTGTGTGTGTGTGTGTGTGTGTGTGAAACTTTTGTGTTTCTGTCCCTGCCATTCCCGCACAAGGTTGCAACATTGTTGATAAATTCAGGCACCGACACCTGTCTGCTCTCACATTCCCGCATTATGTTTTGCGGAAACCAATCTTTATTTTTTTCCCACTCTATCCCAGCTGCAAATTTGGGGCGAAACACAATAAATAAAGCTTCGCCAGTTTGGGTCCTTATCACAACTGATCAAGATGGCCAAAAGATTCTCTGCTCAGAGGGCCTTGCAAATGATTTTGTAAGAGAGAGAACCATTTGATGATGATGTAGAGGAAGAGGAAGAGGTTTCAGAATGTGAGGATCACATTTCTGAGAATTCTGAGTCTGACAGTGACTTTGAAGAAGAGGATGAGATTGAGCATCAGCTACAAACAAAAGACGAGCCACAGGACCAGCCTGTCGGCGGGCAAAACAACAAGTAGCACTTTAATTCATTAATGTGATCTAATAAATGTAAAAGGACAAATATTAACCATAAATGATGTTTATATTGCTTGTAATTGGGATGAAGTAAACATCTGTTGAGTATTTTAACATACAATTGTTTGATGGTGTTGAATTGAAACCCAAAAAGGCAGCAGGTCCACCAGACCCACGAACACTGGCTGAATAACAAAAATATGAACACCACACAAGGGTTAAGGGGCTTTCCAGAAAATAAAGGCCCACTCTTGTCATAGTACACAGGAACAGAAATGAATGACATCCTGGGTTATGCTTCTGCTTGTGACTATTAGTAATGCACAATCATGCATTTGGCCCGAGCCAAAGATTGAAACAGAGAACAAGTTCACCCTTGGTATCATGAGTTCAACCAGAGGACGGGTGCATACAATGCGGTTTTAAACGGAAAACAAATATGTGTGGATCAAAAAGACATATGTATGCCATTAATAAGATCAGAACCAATTGGGAAAAGGAACTACAGATCACCTTCTCTGATGACTTTTGGAAGGAGGCCCTGAGATCCGTCAACTCATCCAACAGTTGTAATAGACTTAGCCTAATACAATTTAAAGTTCTCCATAGACTACATTATAGCAAGGCTAAGCTCTCCAGGATTTATCCAGATAGATTGGATGACAGGTGTGATAGATGTTCCCAGGCCCCCAGCGACCTGACTCACATGTTCTGGTTGTGCCCTAAATTATCTAGCTTCTGGCAATCTTTCTTCGAATGTATTTCTGAAATTGTAGGTCTAAAAATCTCTCCATCCCCTCATGTAGCTATTTTCGGTAGGCCCCCAGATGAAATCAACATGACAAACACTCAAACCAATGTCATTGCCTTTACCTCCTTGAGTGCTCGTAGAAAAATCCTTCTTTTGTGGAAATCTCCTTTACCTCCCTCTTTTAAAATGTGGCTGGGTGATACTATGTCTCTCCTAAAGTTGGACAAAATTAAGTTTACTCTCAGGGGTTCTTCAGATAAGTTGTACGCTCATTGGATGCCACTGATCAGTAATGTAGACCGTCTTGCCCCTGATATGGTGTCGCTGTAGGGATTCTCCCTTTATCTGCCTATAATTCTGATATTATTACTCCCCTGTCCGCCACACATGCAGCCCGTGTGACATCCCTTGATATATGTGTTAGTATGTGTATGTGTATGTGTATGTGTACATGTATGTATGTATGCAGGTATGTGTATTTGTATATACTGTATGTGCATGTCAATTATTGTATTTATCATTTGGTATGTAATTGATGTACTGTTGCCTCAGTGCTCCGGGAGAGGGGGTCGGTGGGATGGGGCTGGGTTGAGGGAAAGTGGGTAAGGGTTCTTTTGTAAAAAAAAAAAAAAATGCCTTATTGGCTGCAATGCACTGTTACACTTTTTTCATGTGACTAAAAATGTTTTTGAAAAAAAAAGAAATACATATGTAAAACTTTTTTCTGTGTAAAACTTTTATTTACATGTATATGAACCGGAACACATCCCTCTGAACAACACAACCCTCTGATGCGTGTGATGGTAGCTTGGCACGCTACTTCCCTGGAACCGTTGCTGCTTCCAGTGCTTCTTCCTGAAGTCTTTGATCACTACCCAGTCACCGGGCTTGAAGTGGTGTTGTGGCGCATCAGCTGGCGTCTGCAGTACGGCTTTCACCTGAGAGTGGATAGCTGAAAGGGAGACTGAAAGACTTATACAGTAGTTCAACAAAAGGTAACTTAAATTGTCTCAACTTTCAGAAATTAACATTACATTAACAGAATAATATTCTTTAAATCTGTGCCAGTTCGTCAGCTTTTCACGGCAAAAATCATTTGTAGCTGCTTTCACAATGATGACATGCTATTCTCTTTTTATTAACCAGTAAAATAGATCTTTACAGGATCAGAATATTTTGAATATTATTAATCTTTATGGCTTTGTAAGATTATATGTCTCTATGTAACACAATGGACATGATTATCACATTTGTTTCAGTCTTAAATCTGTATTGTCACTGTGCTTTTTAATATGGTCATATTAATAAAGTTAGTATTTCCTGATATTCTTTATATAAAATGATGTGTGACTTCCTCAAATGATGTGTGACTTCCTCAAATGATGTGTGATTTCCTCAAAAAGATAAAGCATTTAGAAATTCAAACCAGCAACCACACCGTCACATACTTCAGGATACTTGCTGCAGAGCTGACCTTCTAGGAAAGAGTTGGCATTCCCATGAGCAATGGAGGAAGTCTATGCCAATGTTGACGATGTCAAACCCCTAAGCTCAAGCTCATCAACAATACAAGAAGGTAAGAGTGTCAGACAGAGAGCACTGTGGATTTTGGATTTACTGTATTACTCCCTGGTCTTCTCTGTGTTCAGGTCCCAGGAGACTTCTCAGAGCGTCTGTTCTCGGTCTGGGGCTGCTGGGTGTTTTCCTGCTGGCTGGACTCATCGGCCTCGCTGTCCACTGTGAGTCTTTCTTTTAATACGTTTAATAATGTCATTTTGAACGTGTGATTTTAAGGAGCAATATTCTGCACGGAAAGATGCACATTCGACCAAATATATCTTTTTTTTTTCTACTTTTATCCTAGGTCCAAAATAGGAAAACGTTCATTTTGGTTTGTGTCAGTATGATTGCATCAGGTAATTTAAGAAACATCTATTTTCATTTCAGATCATAACTCAGTAGGTGGTGCAGCTGCAGATCTCTCCGCTGTCAAAGCAGACCTGTCCTCAGTGACTGAAGAGAGAGACAACCTGACTGAGCGTCTCCAGGCCAGAGATCAGCTGATCAACCAGCTGAATGTCAGCCTCACTGAAAAGACCAGAGAGGTGGAGTGTTTGAGTAAGTGCTTCATGTGGGGGGTTTGCATAGGGCTCAGTATGTGTAAGATATCAATTATCATAATATGTTTTATAAAATACCTCAATATTGATATTCTAAGGCTGACTATTGATCCTTTCATAAAATAGTTACAGAATGACGCTTTTCATTAATGATAATTAAGAATTAGTTTTTAATGACTTAGTGGTGAGTGATTTAATTTATAGTTTGTTTTATTTTTCTTCACCCACCATATTTATATTTCTCTGTAAACTATGCTTATGGCCAGTTTCCTTGTCTAAATTACTTTTAATATAAGCAATAGGAAGAAGAACTTAGAGGTAGTTTGTTCCAGATATTTGCAGCATAATAATAATAATAATAATAATAATAATAATAATAATAATAATAATAATAATAATAATAATAATAATAATAATAATAAAGGATAACAAGGTTTCAAACCAATGTAGAACTGTTGCCGAAAGTCAGACCCAGTTTTCCAGTCGGTCTAGTAACTAACACCGAAATGTTGCCACTGTCTGTGTTTAAGTGGATGTCATTGAAGACTTTAACAAGATCAGTCTCAGTGCTGTGGTGCCTGACTAGATCACATCCAAACAGTTATTTAAATCCCAAAAAAGAGAGAAGTAGTTGTTTTGCAATGAAATGTGTGATCTCTTTTCATCCCTCTAAAAATGCTTAATAAATATGTTTTTTCATTATTATTACAAAAGTGACATATAATGCACTCAAGAGTTCCATATTTCAGCAGTTAAAGCAGTAAATCAACAAGATCTTAAAACTTTTACAGAGATAACGTGTCCTGAAGGATGGAGGAAGTTTGGTTGTTCCTGTTATCTCTTCTCTACTGAGAAACGTTCTTGGGAACAAAGCAGAGACAACTGCAGAGCCAGAGGAGCAGATCTGATGATCGTAGACAGTAAGGAAGAACAGGTAATGTGTGCTGCTTTAACACTTGTGATTGTATAACTCCTGCTTTTATCAATCAATAATGTTTTTATTGTACATATACTAGCAAATGTGTCTATCAGCTATAATGATTACATCACAACAATGGTGTTGGTTACATATTTCTGAGCTAGTAAAAAGGGAAAAGTTATCTGAATGTTGATGTCCATCCCAGTAAACTGCATTTTTAATATGTGAACAGGAATTCATCTCTAGCATGATCAAGGAAAACACTTGGATTGGTTTGAGTGACAGAGAAGAGGAGGGGACCTGGACATGGGTGGATGGATCTCCACTGAATCTGAATCTGACGTAAGGCTTTACTTTGGTTTGAAATACAGACGCTGGTTTATGTTGTGACCTTTCTAAATGTTTCACATGTTTCTGTAATGGGAGTTAACACAACACACAGGATGCATTTAAACGTAGGGTGTCTGCCCATTTCACCAGAAGATTCATTTGGGTTTTAAGAAAAGAACATGGCTGTATTACTTATAGTTATTTGTATTTGATGTCCAATCTTTTAATTCATCTTCTTTTCCTGTAATACCTGTTAGGTTTTGGAGCCCAGCACAGCCTGATAATTTTGACGAAGAGGACTGTGCAGAAATATGGAGTATTGATCACTCCCAAAGCTGGAACGACAAGCCCTGTAAGATCGATATGCATTGGATCTGTGAGAAATAAGCTTAACATTGGTGTCTGTTTGGATACCAAACATGCAATCATGCTTTTACAATTTATTTTAAATTGAGTTATTTAAAACTATTCAAAATGCCTCATTTCATGAATAAGAATTGCGTTTCATGACTTGATAAATCACAATTTTTTTTTCTGATAATATATATCAGCAATAAATAAATAGTAATTTAATTTGTTTTTGCCAACTTTTATTTGCCTCAATTAAATTAGTATTTGTATTAATCCTTTTACCCATCAACATAAAAACAGCTTCTTAAAAACATCTGCTGATAAGCCCACAGTTCCTGAAAGCTATAATATTGAAGGTGCCTTATTGAGCAGAATATGATAAAAATAAGAAGAATAAAAACTGTCAAACATTATTGAATAATTCAGACATATACAACAATACTCTAGTCTCAGCATTGGTCTAACTTGTTCAAATATGTAAAATAGCCTGTGTGTTTATACTGTATGTTTCCTAACAATGAGCTCTTGTGGCCATGTGACTACAAATCTATTGTAGGTATTTAACATTCATAGGTACCAGCCACTTTGTACATACTGTAAGAACTAGTGCTGTCTATTAATACAAAAATGTATGTATGTTTATCACAATAATAATCTGGGATTTGCAGGATTTGCTCATGTTTCATTTTAAAAGTAAACTGCCTTTTATTTGAAGTTAATTACAGAACTTTAGTAAATGGGCAAATTAGATATAGCTAGATCAGGAAATAGCAACTTTCTTTGAGCATGCATACAAAGATAAAAACCGTAAAAATATATTGTGGGTGTATTACATGTTCTCTGACAAGATGAAGCTCTTCCACTTCAACAAATTGCTGTTATCAGATAAAAAGCAGCTTTACCACTTCACCTTTTTTTCTCAAAGTGAACAACTCCTCCCTGAAAGTTAGCTTTAATTTAATAATTATGTGAACTTTATATATTTATGATCAGCGGCAGACAGAGTACTTCAGAGGAAAGACATTTGTGTTTATCAGCATTTATAATTAAGATCCCCGCTTTCACAACAATGTCATGCTATTCTCTTTTACTGTAGTTTCTCTTTTATTAACCAGTAAAACAAATCTATACAGGATCAATACAGTTTGAATATTATTCAATTCAAGCAATAATTGGTTGTGACTACCACCTCCTATTTTTTTTTTCAACGTGAATAACTCTAAACGTTGTATGTTTATGATCAGCAGCAGACAGAATGCTTCAGAGGAATTACAAAAAGTGAAATGCACGCAACTGATTTGGACTGTTTGGTATTTGGCTTCATCAAGTGTCAATTGTTTTTTGTTAAGGAGGTCATTTATAGTTTATTTGTGTATTTATGTAATCATGAACAAATTTAAGTATTTTGAAATGTTGTTGAAATCCAGATGTTACATTTAAGCTGTTACAAAAGATAAAAACTATCAAAAATAATGAATCAAGAACTGCCATTATTATTTACCTTTATGGTTACGTTTATGTATCTCTATTTAACAGAATATTTCATTGCCAGTCAGTCTTAAACTGTCTCTAATTGTTTTAACTCTGTAGAAGCATGAAACTCACTACTCTGCTTTAACGAACATGCGATTCTCCAAAACAGTTGTGCTTCACACGCTCATTTTGTTCATTTAAAAAAAGAATCTGAATGACATCAAGGTATATGAAAACAATATGGTTACACATGTGCCCAAGGACAACATTTACCAGGTTTTGGAATATAGCAGGGGCATGTGTGAGTCCAAACGGCATCACCATGGTATTCAAAATGGCCCAGAGGGGTGTTGAAAGCCGTCTTCCACTCGTCTTCTTTACGGATCCGGACTGGGTGGTTTGCATTTTGGAGATCCGGTTTGGTGAACATGGTGGAATAGGGAGTCAAAGGCAAAGTTCATTCGAGACAAGGGACACTTACACCGATCAACCATAACATTATGACCACTGACAGGTGAAGTGAAGATTATGGGGGGGACCCTGAAAATGACCTTTCTTATTAGGGGATCACCCCCTGATAATGGTGGTGGTGGGGTGAAGAGGACTGTGCAAGTCTTGTAAATGGAAGGGAAACCAGAAAAAACTGGAATGATCTGCAGTGTACTACCTTTCTGCAATGGATCTGTGAAAAAATTGCTTGAGGCAGTGGGTTTGTCTTCAAATGGGAAGGTTGTGGGTTCAACCCCTGCTCCTGCCATCAACATGTCGCTGTATCCCACTTAACCCCAAATTGCTCCCATGGCCAATGTGTGAATGTTAGCTTCCTTGAGCAGGGGGCTCTTTGTTTGGCTGACCCTGCCTATGAATACTAGTAAAGACTGCTTTATATAAAATGCAGTCACTTTACCAATACATGTGTTAATACTTTTATAATTTATGCAAAATGACTTCAAAAGTGCTTTTGTATGTGCCACATTGTATATATAGAGAAAGAGTCTACATCAACAAGTGGTTGGAGGTCAGGAATGAAGATATTGGTTTGAGTTTTGGCCAAATTTGACTGCTTGTTACTGGGAATAGTACATGGGAAACCAGGATGTTAGCATGTATCTTTATTTATACTTGCTTTATACGTGCTCATGACCATCATATGCAATTAAAGATAGCTACTTATTGTACTGCTTCTATACTGTGAAATAATACAGATTGTCCTGAAATGCACTTTATTATTAGGATAATAAAGTTGACCAGCTGTTTCAATCACAAGTTCATCTTTGTATTTAGTGTCTCTGTGACATGCTTTAATGTACAAAAAGCTCTTTATTTTTCTCTGTTGTGATTGGTCAACTGCTTACAGATCTCCGGGCCCTTGGCCTATCACGTTCATTGTGTTGGGTCAACATATAACATGAAAGGGAAACCCCAAAAAGCATAACAGGGCCCCTTTTAGACATGAATTGGTGGATGGGTTTTGTAGAGGATATGTTCACTCACTCTGAAACTTGTAACTTCCTATTTAAAAAAATAAGAGACATGTTACCAAAAGACGTGACGTTTTTACTACTGTGAAAAGAACCTTTCTGCACAATTGATAAATTGTACGTACTGTATTACTAATCTACGTCGAAGTAGTTTAAAAGTTTAAAAGGAATGATAGATAGATAGATAGATATATAATAGTTACTTTAATATGGTGTGTGTGATCATTGTCTGGTACAGGATTCTTAAGAAGCTAATTTTAACACTTAGTGGGGGAGTGACTTCCTCAAAAAGATAAAGTGTTTAGAAATTGAAACAAGTCTTCCTCAGTCACATACTTCAGTGTAACTGCTGTAGAGCTGACCTTCTAGGAAATACTTGACATTCCCATGAGTGATGGAGGAAATCTATGTCAATGTTGAAGGTGTCAAACCCCTAAGCTCAAGATCATCTGCAAAACAAGAAGGTAAGAGTGTCAGTCAGACTGTAACATCCTGTCATGTCTGCTAATTTATTCATGTCATGTTAAGTTAGTAAACCAGGTTCATGTTATATGTTTCATGTTTAGTTCATAGCCCAGGTTAGATTTATGTTTAGTCAAGTCTCTTTGTTCACCTGTCTAGTCCTGCCATTGCACTTCCTGTTTTATTTTGTACTTACCTTTCCCTCTCGTTTCAGAGCTCTCCTGCCCTTGTGTGTCTGTTGCAACCTTTGTCCCATTACCTCTTGTATATATAGTCCTCGTCTCCCTTGTCCTGTGCCGGTTCGTCTTGTGCCTTGTGCCATCAAGAGAGCCAGCTTTTCATGCCAAGAAACATTTGTAGCTGCTTTCACAATGATGACATGCTATTCTCTTTTTATTAACCAGTAAAATAGATCTTTACAGGAACAGAATATTTTGAATATTATTAATCTTTATGGCTTTGTAAGATTATATGTCTCTATTTAACACAATGGACATGATTATCACACTTGTTTCAGTCTTAAATCTGTATTGTCAATGTACTTTGGCATTAGTATGTTTTAATATAGTCTTATCAATAAAGCGTATATGAATTTGTCTTGACTCTCAGCGTGAGAACAAAACTGTATTTCCTGATATATATTTTTTTTTGGATAGATATGAAAATGATGTGTGACTTCCTCAAATTATGTGTGACTTCCTCAAAAAGATGAAGCATTTAGAAATTCAAACCAGCAACCACAATTTCCCCGGTCACATACTTCAGGGTAATTGCTGCAGAGCTGACCTTCTAGGAAAGAGTTTGCATTCTCATGAGCAATGGAGGAAGTCTATGACAATGCTGTTGATGTCAAAACCCTAAACTCAAGATCATCTGCAAAACAAGAAGGTAAGAGTGTCAGACAGAGTGCACTGTGAATTTACTGTATTACTCCCTGGTCTTCTCTGTGTTCAGGTCCCAGGAGACTTCTCAGAGTGTCTGTTCTCGGTCTGGGGCTGCTGAGTGTTTTCCTGCTGGCTGGACTCATCGGCCTCGCTGTCCACTGTGAGTCTTTCTTTTAATACGTTTAATAATGTCATTTTGAACGTGTGATTTTCAAGAGCAATATTCTGCTCTGAAAGATGCACATTCGACCAAAACATCTATCGTTTTTCTACTTTTCTCCTCGGGCCAAATTAGGAAAACATTCACTTTGGTTTGTGTCAGTATGATTGCATCAGGTAATTTAAGAAACATCTATTTTCATTTCAGACCATTACTCAGTAGGTGGTGCAGCTGCAGATTTCTCCGCTGTCAAAGCAAACCTGACCTCAGTGACTGAAGAGAGAAACAACCTCACTGAGCGTCTCCAGGCCAGAGATCAGCTGATCAACCAGCTGAATGTCAGCCTCACCAAAAAGACCAGAGAGGTGGACAGGCTTCAGTGTTTGATGGACAAGGGTCAGTGCTTCATGTGGGGGTTTGCATAGGGCTCAGTATGTGTATGTAAGATATCAATTATCATAATATTTTTACAAAATACCTCAATATTGATATTCTAAGGCTGACTATTGATCCTTTCATAAAATAGTTACACAATGACACTTTTCATTAATGATAATCAAGAATTCGTTTTTAATGACTTAGTTGTGAGTGATTTAATTTATAGTTTGTTTTATTTTTCTTCACCCACCATATTTAGATTTCTCTGTAAACTATGCTTATGGCCAGTTTCCTTGTCTAAATTACTTTTAATATAAGCAATAGGAAGAAGAACTTAGAGGTAGTTTGTTCCAGATATTTGCTGCATAATAATAATAATAATAATAATAATAATAATAATAATAATAATAATAATAATAATAATAATAATAAAGGATAACAAGGTTTCAAACCAATTTAGAACTGTTGCCGAAAGTCAGACCCCGTTTTCCAGTCGGTCTAGTAACTAACACCGAAATGTTACCACTGTCTGTGTTTAAGTGGATGTCATTGAAGACTTTAACAAGATCAGTCTCAGTGCTGTGGTGCCTGACTAGATCACATCGAAACAGTTATTTAAATCCCAAAAAAGAGAAGTAGTTGTTCTACAATGACATTTGTGATCTCTTTTAATCCCTCTAAAAATGCTTGATAAATATGTTTTTTCATTATTATTACAAAAGTGACATATAATGCACTCAAGAGTTCCATATTTCAGCGGTTAAAGCAGTAAATCAACAACATCTTAACACTTTTACAGCAAAAACGTGTCCTGAAGGATGGAGGATGGTCGGTTGTGTCTGTTATCTCCTCTCTACTGAGAAAGCTTCTTGGGAACAAAGCAGACAAGACTGCACAGCCAGAGGAGCAGATCTGGTGATCGTAGACAGTTATGAAGAACAGGTAATGTGTGCTGCTTTAACACTTGTGATTGTATAACCCCCTGCTTTTATCAATCAATAATGTTTTTATTGTATATATAGTAGCACATTTGCGTATAAAGCTATAATGATTATGTTACAACAATGGTGTTAATTACATATTTCTGAGCTAGTAAAAAGGGAATAGTATGCTGAATGTTGATGTCCATCCCTTTAAACTGCATTTGTGAACAGGAATTCATCACCAGCATGATCAAGGAACAAACTTGGATTGGTTTGAATGACATAAACCAAGAAGGGACCTGGAAATGGGTCGATGGAACTCCACTGAATCTGAAGTAAGGCATACAGAACAAATTCATATATTTTGGTGTAGCTGCATCCTACTGATGTATATCGGGTTTTTGTTATGACTGTCCAAACATTTATTAATTATTATCAATTTCAGAATTAACTAACATTTTAACATTCATTGCAAATAAAGCTAATAATCTAAACACATGCATACACACACATCTAGAGATGTGCAAAGAGGATAACATTTTTGGATATTGGGATTGAATTCAATTTGAATTTTAATGTTCAATGTCTCTTTTTGCATAATACACTAGAAACCCAGGTAGACAAAAAGAGCAATTCAAAGCAGTTAGTTAACTTTAAAGACATAACAATTAAGATACTGCCACAAATAAGCTGAAAGGCACAGTTGTAGGTGTTAACATTTTTAATATGTATTTTAATGAGAGGTGTGATGAAAAAGGTGAAAAGAATAGTTTAGTAATCTTGGTTCGAGTTGAGAAGCTGCTGATCATAACCAAACCATTGAAAGTTCAAACAATTTCAACAACTCTTTTCATAAAGATCTCTTCTACATGTTGTGGTATCAAAAGAGAATAATTAAACCAGTGCCACTTTGAGAATAGAATGAGAAATGGTAAAGCGTCTTTCTTTTCTTGAAACTCGCCCTAAAATAGAGGAAGGGCGATGAAAGTAAATGAGAAGATTTTGCAAGAAAAAGGGTTGAGCTGAGCAACCCTGTCTCCTAAAAATTACGTTCCCACAGAACTAAACTGCATTCTCAATTACGTTTAGCTAGAAACGTATTTTCTCCCACGTTACGTTGGTTATGAACGTATCTCAAATACGTTTATTTTCTACATATCTTCTAGAAACATATTTTCTCCCACCTTACGTTTGTTATGAACGTATCTCAAATACGTTTATTTTCTACATATCTTCTAGAAACATATTTTCTCCCACGTTACGTTTGTTATGAACTTATCTCAAATACGTTTATTTTCTACATATCTTCTAGAAACATATTTTCTCCCATGTTACGTTTGTTATGAACTTATCTCAAATACGTTTATTTTCTACATATCTTCTAGAAACATATTTTCTCCCACGTTACGTTTGTTATGAACTTATCTCAAATACGTTTATTTTCTACATATCTTCTAGAAACATATTTTCTCCCACATTACGTTTGTTATGAACTTATCTCAAATATGTTTATTTTCTACATATCTTTGCCATTTATTGTCTTGCTTATAATAATAATAATAGTCATTTATAAATATCATTTTAGAGCACACATTTGAAATCGACGATCGGGCTCGATATCCTATGGTTAAATTAAAATCAGTAGGCGAGGCTGTAATTTCGCCAGCTGCGAGGCAGAAAATAATAGTTTTAAACATGCCAAAAAGCTGCTGTGTCGTTTATTGCACCTCAATCATTAAAACAAATCCAGAGTTACGTGTTTCTGTACTTCCTCTAAGAAGAAAGGACAGTATACAACAGAAGAGCTCTGTGGCTTCAGGCTTGATCGCCGTTCAAATGACAGCTGGTTTCCCCAAAAGTGGGCGGGGCTGTAAAGTGACGTAGTTTTAGCCGCAATGCACGTCGGGATATGGTGTTAATGCGATATGAAATCCGAAAAAAAAATCAGAGAAGAAACACACTCCTCAATGTCAGTTTCAGTGTTTTAATGACAAAGATCACGACACCCCTGAAACAGAGTAATACAGCGAGGTAAGCTGACAAAGTATTACATACATGCATGTCATCATTAACACAACACAAATATATGCTACGACACCACGTATATATACACCAACAATAGTGGGAACAGTCTTACATGTGTGAGTGGATGAACGTCTCGACACGAGGCGGAGTGAATGAACAATGTTTGAACTAAAATGGCCGCTCAGTACTACTGGGTCAGAGTGCGGCATATCCGGTGCGACAGCAGTGAGACGCTGCCCTCTAGTGGCCGGCGATAAACTCTTCATCCCCCCCAGACCGGAAAGCTATAGGCTGGAATAGATTAACGGTCTAAATCCCGTATCCAGCTGCCGGACTCGGGCTCGTAGCGTGCCGGCGGCTTCCTCACGCGGCCCGGCCGAGCGAGCTGGGGCAGCGCCGGCGGCGACTGCGGCACCGGGAGCGGTGCGCCCAGGAAGGCACCCGTAGGAACGGCGAGGTCAGAGGACGCCTCATCAGCAAGCGCCGGTGGGGAAGCGCCCATAGCCGAGTCGCTGGGACCATCAGCCGGCCGCTGAGTAAGCCCCTGGGGCGTCGCCCAGCCCGGGCGGATAGGTGGGGGCTGATGTCCCAGGGCAGCGGGCGGCGGCGACGGCGTGGCCGACTGCTCATCGGCGCAGGGTGTGGCCGGCGTGTAGGCACGGAGGAACCGCCGGTTGCGCAGTGTCAGACGTCCCGAACCGTCAACCCTGATCCGATACTGGTCATGGTCCAGCGACTCCACCACGATCCCTGACCTGTCCCATTTGCGGGGGCTCGGGCCTTGCTGGTTCTGGAGGAATACCCTTTCGCCGAGCGCCAATGGGCGGAGCGGTCTTGAGTGAGTCCCCAGAGACTCGGTGGTACGGGACATACGGGTCCGAAGGGCGTCCTCCTTCGCCGCCCATGCCTCGCGCCATAGCGGGCGGATATGCGGGTTCGAGAACTTCTCGAGGCGGTTCACGAAGGAGAGCGAGCCACGAAGGAGAGCGAGCCACGAAGGGGGCGGCCGAAGATGATCTGCGCCGGCGAGAGGTTGCAGTCGGGGTCAGGCGTGTTCCGCAACTGCAGCATAGCACGCAGGAAGCGGTCCTGATCAAGGCTGCCCGACGGGCCAGTGTTGGACATCAGGAGGCGCTTAGCAGTCTTAACCGCAACTTCCGCCCTCCCATTCGACTGCGGAAAGCTAACGGAGGACACACGGTGTTTGACGTGCCATAAGCGGAGGAAGTCCTCAGTGTGGCTCGCCTTGAATTCCGGACCACCGTCGCTCGAGAGCTCCTCCGGTACGCCGAAGGTAGCGAAGAACAAACGGAGGTGTTGGACCAGGCCAGCTGAGCCCGCCAGGGCAGTACCCGCCGTAGAACTCAGGACCTCTACCCAGCCCGAAAGCCGATCCCCGACAACTAGGTAGTGGCGGCCCCCATAGTCGAAGAAGTCAGCAAACACCGCCTCGAATGGCGTGGACGGGGGTGGTGACGGCAGGGGGGGTGTAGCCGCCTGTGACGGAGCATTGCGGTTGCAGTCTGCACACCCGTCCCTGGTGGCCTGAATGTCCCCGGACATCCCGGGCCAGTAAACTATGGCTCGGGCATGCTGCCCCATCGCTGAGGTCCCCTGGTGAGCGGCATGGAGATGCCGAAGGATTCTCCCACGGAGGGATGGGGGGACCACGACGCGGTCCCGATAGAGCAGGACGCCGTCCTGTGCGTAGACGGACTCACAGACCGATGACAGACTCGCCAGGGCAGGGTCGTTAACGTCAATCCCACCCTCCTGCTCGATGAGTTGGAGGAGGTGGCCGAGGCATCCGTCAGCCGCTGTCTCCCGTGCGAGGAGGGGCCAAGAGACGGCTCCGAGCTCCCGTGCGTCGTCGCGGATGGAGGCCATGAGTGCCGACTCCACGGCGTCAGGCCCGCTCGGCAGCCCCAGTGAGAGGCCGTTCGCTGAGCCCGAGGGGGAAGGATGCCTTGACGTGGCATCAGCGGCATAGTTGCTCTTGCCAGGCAGATGCACAATGTCGAAGCGCCATGGGAGGGTGCGCTGCTTGAGTCTAAACAGACGCGAGTTTGTTATCTCATCCAGCGTACGGTCACCAAAGATCTTCACCAATGGCTTATGGTCGCTGCTCCGCAGGGGACAGGAAACGCGAACCCGCGAGGGTGATCCTCCATCCTCCTTGACAGCAGTCCGGTATGCCCGAGGCACAGTGACAATGTTGCTGGAGCAGGAAGTAGCCAATGCCACGCATGGACCAGTCAGGGCGGAGGCAGGTACGCTTCTGCATGTCGTAGATCTCCACGCCCTCGCGGATGGCCTCCATTATGGCTTGCTTGGACGTCTGGAAGGCCTCCTCCAGAACGGGGGACCATAGGAACACACAGCGCGGGCTGAGGAACGGCTTAAATGGGGCCATCGTGTCACGCAGCTGGGCGTAGTTAGCCACCTGGTTGACGAGGCCAAACCAACTCCTGATGTCCGTCGTGGAGCCTGGGGTGGGGAAGTCCCGGATGGCGTCCAAGTATTTTGGGAGCGGTTCGATGGTAGATTCCGACATCCTGAAGCCGGCGAAGTCGACGCACCTCTCCGCGAACTGAAGCTTGTCCGGGTTCAACACGATGCCCGACCGGCCGACACGCGTCAGGAAGTCGATGGTCCTCCACCAGTGTTGCTCCAGGTCTGTGTCATAGTGGATGGTGTCATCCACACAACGTTCCTTGCGTTCATATTCCGAGAGGACGGCGTCAAACCGACGGTTGTAGCCATCCCCTGATGACAGGAAACCCTGTGGTGCCCTGGTGTAGCGCCAACGGCCGAAGGGCGTGATGAAGGTAGTGAGGTGGCGATCCGACTCACGCAGGGGGACGCTGTGGTAGCCGTTCCAGGCATCCGTGACGGTCTTCCAGGTGCCCTTCGGGACGCGGCATGCAAGGTGGAACGGGGACTCAGTGGCGAAGGTCTCACGTTGGCAGAACTTGTTGAGGGGGGAGAGGTCCACGGTCCTGCGGGGGGAACCGTCGTGTTTCCGAGTGACTACCATGCGATGGCACCACGCCACGGGCTCGCCGTATGGTACGCGTTCAATGACCCCGAGGGCTTCGTCCCGCAGGAGGTCATCGTGGACCCTCCGCTGCCAGTGTAGAGGCACTGTAGCCGCGGTGTGGCATGCCTTAGGCGTAGCTGCGGGGTCCACGTGCATCTCGATAGGTGGCCCCTCCATGCATGGTAGTGCCCGATGGGGGCAAGTATTGAATGTCGACGATGCATATCTCCCGAGCAGCCAACCTTTCATCCGGCTGTTGTTCTCTGGCGT